CTTTTTAGTCCATTTATAAAAGCGTTGTATATTAAAAAGTTTTTTTTCTATTATTGATTTGTAGTTAAAATACTCTGAACCGCAGTTTGCAGGCGCCTGAATCACTATATGTTTTCCATCCAATGCCCCTCAGCAATTAAGGAAATGCCATCGCTGGTCAAAACGCTCGGCTACCTTTGACCATTCTTCATGGGTGCTACGAACCTTAATGAGTAATAGACTTTGCACTTTGTCATTGATTTAAAAAAATACATGAATACCTTTAAAAAATTATCTTTTAAAGCTTCGAAAATAGCCCGACATGTCTCATGTATTACATGACAGATGGTGGTTTTCTCGATTAGGAAAACAGTCATAAGGCTAGAGAAGCTATCGCCTGTTGCCAAGTAACGTAAACTTACGGCCAATCTTTCGCCCACCGAAATCGCTTCTCGGAACTTTGTGGTATGTTTGAATATATATTGGGTAAGGCGCTCCACAAGGAAATCAAAATCCTCCATACTCATCCCCAAAAAGTTTTTTAGCCCCTTTGGATCCTGAAGAACCAGCTTAGAGCGCAGTGTAACATAAAAACCACAGGTGGCTCTAGGTATCTCTCAGACCTGGCCGAATCCACCATTGCTTTTCCACGTCCTTAGTGTTTTTACTACACATAGCGCTGCAGTAGCTATAGCAATTTGTTTATTTTTGCGCCTTACTTTCCGTATAAATTCTTTTCGTACTTTTTTTTACAATTTTTCTTTTATCCGCTGACAGTCTGTCAAACAATTTCACTTCACGTTTGACATCATTAATGAAAACGGAATGTCAATCACCTGGCAACAAAATTTTACGACAGTCTTTGACATGCACTGCTATATCGACATTTGGTCAGTTTTTATGAAGTAATGAAAACGCGTTTGACACCAAATGAACAGCTGTCAGATGAAGGCAGTTTTTGATGTCAGTGATTTTGACCTAATGAAAACCAGCATTAAGGCATGTCGATCACTGCGCTAGGTGGAGAAAGAAAAGTGTGGGCTATGACATGTCCAAACTTGTTTGTTTCAGTTTTGCTATCGCCGCGACATATAAAATTGTAACAGGCCGATGTCTGCAGATTATAGATATTAAAGAAAAACTAATATGGTGGGTCTTCATTGGGGCAATAGAAGCCAAA